AATCCCATCTCTTTGTAGCTCCTTAGCCTGCCTCTCTGCCACCACCGGGTGCCCAAGGTCTGCTTGCCGACCGAGGTACTTGGCCTTGACAAGCCGAATGGCAGCGCCATGTCCTTACCGCCCGGGGTACTCTTGTGCTGCCGCCTAAGGCCAGTATAGTGGCTATGCTAGCCACGTAATACGCGAAACTATGGTTTACGCGTGAGCATTTCAGAGCATCCTGGAAAAACGACCCAACACTTTTGCGCCCAAAGGAAGAAGCAAACAGTTTTGTCTGCCCTCATGTACTTGGAACTGGAGATTCCAAATGGTTATCGACACAGTCCCAATTTAAGATGGAATAATGAGATCATGTAAGTTCCGTTTAGAAGAACTTAGCTTGTAGTTGCCACCTGAATATCCCAGCATAAAATCGAACTGCCGCCTCCTCCATCCAAAAGTCTCCAGTCCTAGAACGCAGCTCATAGAATCCGAGAAGCCCCAGAGAAAAAAGAGTGACACGAGACAAGGGACCTTCGCCGCCAGACCCTTGGCGCTGTGAACGCAAACTGTGAGCACACCCTCCGGGACCACACCACCTGTGAAAGGCCCAGTGCAGCGAGCTGATTTTGGATGTTGGGCAACGTGGCAGTGAAAGCTGTGTTTGCGTCATGGGCTCAAGTTTGTTGGGTGCTTATGTATTGAGACCTTGGAATTTGATGAGTATTGCATTAAGCCCGGAGTATCTCTGCAACCTCGGTGTGACACGGTGTGCGAAGTACTGAGTTGCTGGGTTCTGTCTGCTGCTGTAGCCGCACCCTTAGTACGTTACCTCGCGGCAGGCTAATGTAAAGCTGTTTGCGAGAAGCAGTACTGTACCCAATGCTGTGCGGTTGTTGCCAGTTCTGCATTCACCGCAAATTCGGAGCCCTGAATACGCAGTCCAGGGAGCCAGCTTCGAACCAGGCATCCTCATTGGTGATGTCAAGCAACACCTCACTGACCCCAAGCTGATTCCGTCATGGCAGAATATGACAAGCGCCCTTGTCATAGAACTTGTCTTCACCGAGATGCTGTGGCCACAGTGGGCAGCACAATCTGCTCTGCCAACTGCTTCCTTGCTTGAACAGGTCTGGTGCCAAACAAGCAGGACTTCACAAAGGATCCGCATGGATGGCCCCAAAATACGATGTGGTCATGTCTGCCCTGGCCAAGGAAGATGCACCCGCAAATAAATCTAGACTTGTTGAGAAGTCACACGACTGCATGCCTGGTGTTAGCCTCCCACTTCCTCTCGAGCTTCCCCAATTACGTTCACCAGCTCAGCTGTCATGCTGTGCAGCTCTGCCGTGGTCTGCGCTGTCGGTAATCACTTATGTTTCTCCAGCCTTGAAGTCCCGTAGCAAGCATTATGACCCGCGAGTTGTCAAGGCGCTGAATGATGTCAGCCAACAGTTTTTCCAGCCAGGCTAGCGACACCTAAGTTTGCAGCCTTCCAGATGCCTCAAAACTTGGTGTTGACCGCCTCGTAGATTTTGGCGGAAATGTCTGTAACAATGAATGCTTGCAAACGGAGAAGGCTGAGAAGGCTGAAGGTTGGATCTGAACAGGGTGGCCTTCATTGACTTTCAGCTTCCCTGAAAAGTTTTGCTACTTAGTCAGTACTGGCTAGATTCACGCCTACTCTGAGGCTCAGCTGATTGAAGGCTCGGCAGCTGACTTTGGCTAGATGAATCAAGGAAGCAAGGAGCACGCAGGCCCATGACCGTGCCCTCCAGCGTCAAAGCCACCTTGACAGTCAATCCAGCTGTCCAAGCTGGCTGCATCTTCTAATTGTGGAAACGAGCATGCTGTTACACATGCTGGTGATTCTACTGTGGTAGTTTCCATGATCTTGTCCATTTGCTCTATATAACCCCAATATGCTATAGTAGCTTCCATTTTTCATTATCCCTATATATACTGTAATGAGTGAGGGTTTTTGCATTCGCATTTACCCAAGTCACCTTGGGAAGCTCCGCAAAGTAGAAAGTGATGCCCGTGAAAAACGGCGGCCTTCGGAACAGATTACTTACGGTTTATTTGGGTTATATAGGGAGAATGGAAAAGAAAACGGAAACGACTATAATGGGGTTATATAGGGTTTAGGGTTTAGGATTTAGGGTTGGGTTTGTATAGGGATAGTGGAACAGAAAATGGAAACGACTGTAGCATATTGGGGTTATATAGGGATAGTGGAAAAGAAAATGGAAACTACCATAGTACATTGGGGTATTTAATAGGGATTATTACGCAAACAGATTGAATCCCTGAGACCCCTGTGCACAACAGCAGCAAAATGACGTAAACAGGTCTCCTGCTGAAACTTCAGCAAGCTGGCTAGACTTGGCTAAACTCTCGCAACAGAAGCGCCTGGGCAGTATGTGTTGCAGGCAAACATCCAAACGGCCGTTTACGAGCACGTGCTCAGCCGAGAGCACCTTGAGGCCAGCAACTTGTTCAGCAGAGTTTGCTTAATAATAATGGTAATTATAATCATGGGAAAGAAAATGGAAACTACAGGGATTATAGGGGTTATATAGTTATGTAGGGATTATAGGGTAGATATTCAAATACAGAAAGAAAAGTGGCCAACCTGTAAGAACCAACAGGCCCAAGCTACAGCGGTCGGCGCTGTCAGAGCCACATCCACATCTGCATCCCAAGCTACCAGGCTCGACACCTGAAGTTCGCTGCTCTGGCTTGGGTTTATCCATCAGGTTTGCTCTGAGTTCCCAGTGCCTTCTTGGTCTCAAGCATCTTCATGGCTTTTCGAGGGACATTATGGTGAGAGCATGCTAGAAGCTCTTCTCTCCGTACAGCTACATAAGGGACAGCAACAAGGGCGAGAAACTTTGAAGCTGCGCACTTCACCATTCTTGTGCGACGTCTGCGTTGTCCGCTCCACGTTCAGCCTTGGTTCGTGAGCCCTAGATGCTATTGTTGTTGCAGCTATTGCCATAGAAGAACAGGTGATTTGTGCTACTGCAGTTTCCAACAAAACGGGCCAATATAGATCCCCAAATACTTCAACCCTTATACAATGCACCCCCCCCCCGTCCCCCCTAAAAAGAAACTCTAATTTCTGGAAGCCCAGCCTTATCCACACTTGCACACTGCTTGACAAACGAGGCTGCCTGCTTCTGAGGAGCTCCTCTACCTTTAAGGCTGAGTCCCCGAAGGAGATGCGGCCGAAGCCTAGGCCTGACAAATGGGTTTAGGGTTTAGG